TCGTGACTGACTGCTAAATGTAACAATTTAAGCTTTCAGAAGCTTTCAAAAGATAGTATACAACTGGAGACATGACTCCACCCACTCCATCATGTAGTCTGCTTCTGTGCGCTTCTATCAGGGAGGGGTGCACCTCACTGGGATGCAAGTGTAAATGCAGGGATTAAGACGTATATACTTAGCACACGTAATCCAAGCTTATTACTCCATCTAGCTGACAACCAAGAAAGACCACCTTTTCCAATATTAATGGCAGACCAGACCCTTCATTTGGTAAATTTTCCCTGGAGGGAACTAGCAATTTTGCTATTTATAACTTTTATTTTTTATGCTCATGGGGAATTCCAAAATGGTTCCACAATATCTGATTTTAACCGGCTAGAGAATTTGGGGTGGGGTGATTACTTCCTTTGTCTAGGGAGAAACTACCCAAGGAGGGATCTGACTAGGTCGTTCACCTTGTAAAATAAACTCAGTATTTCACTCTGCTATAGGACTTGAAGGTAGCAATACAAGTCCCAGTACAGTAAGAGGCGGGGTCAGAATGATCCTTGAGCCCTGGAGTTTGGGACCAACCCAGGAAGCATAGCTAGGCTTTTTCTTAAAGCTCCATTGCAGAGAAAATGCAATATGTGTACGTACCAAACTTGCATTAAAAACGTCTACAAAGCACGGCACTTAGTCCTGTATCTTACTATTCGGAGACAGGTCTATGTCTCCTAGAGCGGAGCTAACCAGCTCCGGTCAGTCTTCCCTCTAACACAGGATCCAGGGCGACTTGCTGCAACAACCCACAGCTACACTGCCTGTGCCCGGTCTGCACACCCGCCCGCTCCCGCCCGGTGCTGACCCGAGGCTGTGTGTCAGCGCCATCAGGGAGCGCAGAGGGCAGCACATCGTCGTAGGAGAGGACGCCCACGGCCCAGCCCCGCTCCTGCCGCAGCCGGAGGGCCAACGCACGCGCGAAGGTCGACTTTCCTGCCGCCGGCAAGCCGCAGAGGACGCACAGTCCCAGCTTCGGCCTCCCGTCAACGGCGACCTCCCCAGACCCCGCCGCGGTCTTCATGCCTCTGCTGTGGCCTGCAGTAAGACACCATTGCACCCGCTGCGCATGCGCAGTGCACCAACACCGCGCTGCGACCCCTGGCGACAATGAAGAGGAACAAGGGAGGTATGATACCGGTCCAGAGACCACACCTTGGTCCAGGCTGCTACTCAGGGTGGCTTCTGGACCATGTATGTGATGCCAGTACCCTAGGCCGGGGAGACATCGGCGCCCCTTTTCATACTTTCTGGACACTTAAAGGGCCCCTGAATTGGGTTTATTCCCGATAGAATCATCCTCCCTGCCCCACTTTCAAGCCATCAGGGCTTTGCATTTTGGTTTGGTTACGATGAATTTTCTCTGTCCAAGAAAATCTAAGAAGAGAGACTTGAAACTTAAGGAAGGTTTTGAAGGTAAAGAGCGGGAAATCAAGCAGCAGGAAGCGAAGGGAGGACAGCATATTTTCTGCTGTTCCTGGACTTGATGGGTGCAGGGGTTGAGTATTCGTTATTGAGTCCTGGTGCCGCCAGGAGGCAGCAAGTGAGAAGAAATAAGGACAGGAACCGCACATTCTTACACCTTATTGCCAACACATGCAGGCGGAGAACATAGGGATAATCAATAGATTAAAAAAAAAAGTGGTAACGAGCTGGGAGTTGGGACACAAGCCTATAATCCCAGCACTTGAAAGGAAGATGCAGGAGGAGCAAGAGTTCGAGGACAGTCTGTGCTACATGAGACCCTGTCTCAAACTCCCTATCCCTCCTAAAAAAAAAAAAAAAAAAAAAAGGAAAAAGACCCGCCAAGAACTACCAAACAAGAAAAATATTGTGTGCTGTGTAAGAAATATTGAATTCAGAAATTATTTGAGCTGTTTCTCCATCTTTCCTTTTTGCTCCGTTTACATCCCATCATACACAATTCCTATAGGTAACCAAGTGAATTTGTGACCAGAGAGGGAAGGGGGGAGGAAAGGGTTCTATGTGGTAGTAAGCAAGAGGGAAATTCATTTCCTATAACCACCTTGCTGAGACATATACTCCTGGGTAAAAGAAGGTATATTTATTCACTAAGATCTCACTACTTAAAAATGAAGATAGTCTAAATGGTTGCATTACCAAATGAAGGGGATCAAGAAAACTAATTCTTCTAAAATGTACCTTTCAAATATGTGTCAATTTGTATTCTGAAGGCAGTTTTTTTTTCCGAGACAAAGTCTTGCCGTTGTCAAATTTAGTCTCTAATTAGCTAGGGGCAAGAGGCCTGGACCACCATGTCCCACTGAACAGATTTGAAATATCCTCATACAAGGCATAATGAGTTCTTATGTATCAGTAAAGTATAGCTATTTAAAATAGGTAATCAAAACCCTGATTTGTTTAACTTAATATTTGTTATTGGTGGAAGGTTTCTAACTTTTTTTTTTTAAACGGGGTCTCACTATGTAGTTCTCTATACTGGAACTCACTATGTAGACCAGGCAGGCCTTGAACTCAGATATCTGCCTGCCTCTGCCTCCTGAGTGGTGGGACTAAAGAACTGTGTCACTACCTCCAGCACTACATTCTTGATTTCAAAAGGAAAAACAAAAACAAAATTGGTAGCAATTCCTTACATAGTAAGACTGAGGTCAGCTTTGAACCATAACCACACAGGTGTCAAAAAGAACCCCAACTGTTCAGCACTTTTTGCTTTGCTATGCTTCTGTGATAAAGCTGCTACCTCTCACCAACTTATCAGTTCCACACAGTAGAGGTTCTTAACCTTACAAGCACAAAACAACTCCTTATGCCAGCAAGCATGCAGCTGGTAGGGGAAGCAGATATGGAAACTGGTTGTTAAGCCTGGGACTTCAAGGGAATTACATAGTACTTCAAAAAATTGCAATGTAGCAGAAGAATCAATTCCATTCTATAACAGAGATTCAAGCTTGGTTATGAATGATAAAGGTTTTGTTTTGTTTTCAAAAGTCTTGGAAAGAAATAGTATTCTAGGGAGGGGCAGGCAGGACCAGAGTTCATCAGGCTTGCTTTGTAATGCTAAGGAGTAAAAGTGATACTGTTTCAGCCAGTAGTCCTTAGAAGGGGCAGAGGGCAGAAGAGAGAAGGCAAAGTATAGCATATGTTGTTGATGAGAACAGGCTCATGACCTTGGTAAAGAAACTCCCAGAACGGTTTAGATGAAGCTTGTGCCTTAACACATGACAAGCAGAGATGAAGAATGATAAGAGCTTTAGAGGAAATGAAGAAATGGTGATTTATTGGCAGGCAGTCTTTATGACACCTGTCTTTAGTTTCTGTTTCATCAGCCTTGTTTAAGGATGTAAAAATCCACATGGTATTATTAATCTTGTGCATAAAACTGCAAGGTAGGGTTTCTAGAGTGTACTTCCCTTTGGAATGTCTACAGATAGCAACCTAATTCATGACTAGAGGAAGTGGGAAATACAGTGTGACGGGGTAAGACAATACAGAGGTTCCTCCATCTTGTATTCCAGATATAAATCTGATCTTGATGGGGAATCCCATGGGAAACTACCCAACTCTATTCTGGGGACCAAAGATCAGGATGTCCTAGCTAATTTATCTTAGCCTTTGTTAAAAGTGTTTGTGCAGAACCTCCTCTAGCTAACCATTCACCTTAGCTACCTGTTTGTACGGAACCCTCTTGGCTAGCTAAATGCTTATCTCAGCTTCTGCTAAAACTGCTTACTCTTCGAAGTTCCCTGCAGTTGCTGAGTGAGATGCCGCACCTTTCAGGTCTCTGCCCTTAAAAACCTGTGTTCTGGACACTCGGGGCCACACCTAGGTACCAGGCGGCTGGAATAAAGACTTTCAACCCTGTAACATACAGAGCAGGAATGATGCCAACTTAGAGTTAAAAAATATTCAGAAACCGGGCCTTAAAGGCTATTGTTTCTGGATTTTGTTTATATTGAGTCTTTGGTTTCTCTTTCAAACTTGATGGACGCAATTTACACAAACACTCTGGTGAGTAGCTATAGAAAATGACATTCAACCATCTTTTTCTTGCCAGAAAACAAAAATACTTTTGGGCAGGGGTACACATACAGACTAAAGTGAAAATTAAAGCAAAACTTTTTTCCCTGAGTGATGAAATCTTAAGTTCTGAGACAAAACTAGGTTATGAGTGAGCAAAACTATTGTCCGGGGATTATATGGCCTCAAACGCAACTTTGAAATTCGGGTATTCCACATTGCTATAAATGAATTTCCTCCCTCACCTCAAAAGATGTTAGAATTATCTACACAAACCACTTCAGGAAGGTAACTGGGGGCAGACAATACCTAGTTTTCTTTCCTGTGGGTATCTATCAAGTTTCAAGTCCCACTTGTCACCACAGAAAACTTGGCGGTAGAATCTACTTCCGCAGAGAACGAGGCCCATTGCCATTTCTTGTCAGGGGCCAAGAGTGAAGGTACAGCCTAGGCTTTGAGTCCCCTGGACGTTTCTTAACCTTCAGAATTCTGCCACTTAGGACGGGCAAACAGGATCCTAGCTGACTCCTGAGGCCCAGGAGCCTGATCGTAGTACCACCATTGGTTCAGGTGTTTAATGCCTTCCGCCACTCAACAGAATTCTGAGGTGCTTTAACACCGAGCTCCACGCTCCACTCCACAGCCCACTGGGCTGACGTGCGGAGTGGAATAGCACAAGCAACCTTGGTCGCATTGCCCCCAGTGCGGGTCGCACGGCATATTCTCCACAGGCTGCCGTAGGAAGGGCCCCGGCATCCTCTCCCGAGGTCCTCAGATTGGGAACTGGTCTTAAAGTGGCTTAAACCAAGGAGACTTGCACCTATCTGCTCTGGGACTGCCCTCAGGGTCTCCAACCGCTCCGTCCGCCCGCAAACCAACGCTGGTCCGCTGGCTGGGTCACCATAGCCAACGTTCAAATAAACCTCTTCGTTTTCGCGTGCAGAGTATCGCGCATGCGCACGGCCCCAGCGACGGGAGAGAAGTCACAAGACGTCCTCAATCTCCTCCCGCGAAGATTTTGAACAAATTTACAGAAATCATACGATATGCGCACGCGCACGTATGATTGGTTTCCCGGGATTTGAAGAAAGAAAAAAAAAACCGGAAGTTGTACTGAACCTTCACCTCCGCTAGGCACTGAAGGAAACGCAAGCTCCGCGAAAGAGGTTCCGGCGCTGCTTGGGCCGGAGGAGGCAGAATGGAGACCGCGATTGAAGATCCTGGACTGGACTACAGCCCGACGCTCACCTCGTCCTGGGACGCGGCGTGCGAGTCGTTGACCCAAAGCCTCCTTACCCGAATTGGGCCAGGTGCCCAAGACTTGAACTTCGAGCAGCTGCTGGCGCCGCTAGCTCCGGGGTGCGCCGGGCCGGGACCGGGTGACAGCCACGCTGCTGAGGAGCCGGGAGGAGCACGGGAGGCGAGCGAGGCCGCGGGGCCAGCCGGGATGGGCTGAGGGAGCGGTGCCGGGAGGTGGGCGAGGCTGCGGGCAAGTGCTGAGCGCTGGGCCGGAGAGGCCTGGAAACTCGGGTTCAGGATCCTAGGGTCAGCAGGGACACCCCCACAGGCTCTGTTAGAATCCTCGCCCCCACCACCGAAACCAGCCTACCTTCTATCCAGGGGTACAGGAGCAGAACAAGTCCAACTGTAAAGAACCACGGCAATTTAAAAAAAGACGCATCGTTGTTTTTTCTTTACGCACTGTAAACGCTTCTAATTGACTGCGAATGAATTAGAGATTTGAGTAGAATGGCCACGGTCTGGGAAAGCCTCCGTGCCTTATGAATTCAGCTTGGCGCGTCTGTGGGTGTTGGGGAAGGTTCTCCGCCCTCAGGACAAGTGGAAGTGAGTTTGAAGAGATGGGCTATGGCTCTATTCAGAAAAGTTCTCTGTATGATGTTTTATCAATTTCCTTCTCAGCTCGGATCTAGTGAGCCTGAAGAACAACCTGAGTCCCCGCGATGAAAACCCCTGCTTCCTTTACCTGAAGTGTGGGCCTAATGGGGGCGAAGAGATCCTTTCAGTTGGCATTCTGAGTTCAGCAAGAAACATGGAAGTGTACTTGGGAGAGGAGTACTGTGGAACCAGTCGGGGCAAGAATGTCTGCACTGTCCTGGATGACAGGTTTGTGACTTGTCCGTGTGAAATCATTCATCTGAATTTGTCTTTTTAGGGGAGAGAAGTTAAAAGACATACCAATAGGTATAGGTTAGACCACCAGGCCTTCAAAATTCAAAAGACAGGGCAGATGAGTGGTCTTATAAATATGGAAATTTAGGGCTAACTAACTGGAAGTGAATTGGTAGGTCACTGGAAGAGTTTTATTAGACTAAAGTCCTGGTAAGTATTCTTGTTTCTCAGCTTGGTGTGGTGGTACATGTCTTTAAGAGTTTGAGGCCAGCCTGGTCTACAAAGCAAGTTCCAGGAGAGCCAGGGCTGTTACACAGAAGAAACCCTGTCTGAAAAAACAAATAAACAAAAAAATATTCTCGTGTCTCTCATTTAACTCAGTGGGATCTGTTTTACAACAATTAGGCATTCTGAACCTGTGAATATATTCCCTTCTAGGAAGCTCCTTATAAATGACATATCAATGATATATGCTCCATGGATATATCAGTGATGAAACTCTTTATAAATGATATATGGCTGTCACATCAGTGTGTGCTCATTAACCTATTTTAAGATGGACAGTTTGTGATTTTTTTCATAGACTCTTTACAAGGTTCTGCCCAAATCTATCCTTACTATAATCCAAACTCTTTATATCCTATGCATGTTGGAAATAATAGTCGTGTTTACAGACTTTTAAATATGTCTTGTGCCACTTTTTTAGTTTTCTTACATAGCTGGGAGATACAATGCCCCCAAGCAGTACTGCACAGTCAGGAACCTCTTACTCCCTGTGCCTTGGCCAGGAAAAGGGAACCCCAGGAAACATTTGTTCTTAAGTATTAATGCTTACAGTCATTGGCTGTTAAAAATGAATTCTTTTATTTTAGTGAACATGAAAAGATTCTGTTGTACAAAAAATTCCTAAAATTGGAATCTCCTGCACATGCTTGTAAAATAAAGGTAAGTCACCACTAAGTTTTTTTTTGTTTTGTTTTGTTTTTTTATTATTAAATTTTTTTATTTTTAAGTTTAAATTTAGATTAGAAACATGGTTGGTTGACAAGTCAGTTCCAGGTCCCTCTCCCTTCTCCTCCCCTCCTCCCGTGCCCTCCCCCTACCACTAAGTTTTAAGATTTAAAATTAATCAAATTGTTTCTGCTCTATACATATTTTCTCTTGGTTTGGCAGTATGATTAGTCCAATTTGGTCCCTAAGTTTAGTTCAGAAATGCTTAGTTAGCTTGTAAAGGGTTATTATTTAAATGGAGTAATTTATTAGTTACAGAAAATGTTTTGTTAATATAGTACTATATTTTGAAGTTTTGTGAAGCTCAGCTAAGAACATTTTAAAAATCTTTGTATAAAACTGTAATACCACAAAAGGCAGGAACAAAACTGGCCCTGTATGAAAAGAATGAAGGAAAAGTTCAAACAAGAGCCAGAAATTTTAAGGAATTTGGACTGTAGTCTTTAGCCAGAAAAATATTCTTGAGATAATCATTAATGATATTGTCAGAGTTTAGGGATAGATACTGAGTTGGAAAACTCAAGAAATAAATACTAATTCAGCTCTGTTGACATCGAGTGCTTTGGCCATTGCTAACTTTGTTAATTATCTGGACCTACCTATTTCATGAGGAAAATTAATGGGCCCTAGAAACCAAATTCTTGGATTCTTTTTATCTGTGAATTTATATGCTTACTATCACAAAAGACAGTAAGACTTAGTTTTGTTTGTTTTGTTTTTGTTTTTGTTTTTTTGGTTTTACAAGACAGGGTTTCTCTGTATTGTTTTGGAGGCTGTCGGTCCAGCCCGGCCTCAAACTCACAGAGATCCGACTGCCTCTGCCTCCTGAGTACTGGGATTAAAGGTGTGCGCCACCACTGCCCTGCAAGACTAAGTTTTAAGATAAGAAAAAACAAAAGATGATTTTCATTGAAGAGCTCAGAACTGGTTATTCCTGTGTCAGTTTAAGTGAAATAAACTAATAGCTTGTGCAGGCATTTAAATCAAGTGATTTAATTATCTAGTGGATGTTTATACTTGTTGATAAAAGATACTGAACTAGACATTTAGGAATATCAATTGAAAATTGAAGTGCCAGCCTCCATGTTGTTTATATTTTAGTGAGACAAGACAGATGATAATCAGGTTTACTGTTTATATAAATTTTATATAGTAGTCTCTGGTCACCAGTGGTACAGATCTTTAATCCCAGCATTTGGGAGACAGAGGCAGAGGCAGTTGGATCTCTATAAGTTTAAGGCCAGCCTGATCTACACAGCAAGATCTAGGACAGGTATGGCTGCATAGAGAGACCCTGTCTGAAAAAACAAACAGAAAAAAATATGCTGTAGTCAATGATGAGAAAGGCTCTTGGGATTATACAACATAAAGCAGACACTAGGGCCCAGTATGGTGACACACACTCAGCTAGTACTGGATGGTCTGCAGTGAGTTCCAGACTTTCCAGTACTATCCACTGAGATTCTGTCTGAAGAAACTAAAATATAAAAATACATAGATAAAAGAAGGGAGGTAATAATGAGGTGGAATATAAATTTAATGAGCATTTACTTAACTGTTGAGGACTGACATATATTTGGTACCACGCACAGAATTTATAGAGCCTGTGTTTTTTGTTTGTTTGATTTTGGTTTTGTTTTGTTTTTATTGACCCGTGTCTTTGTGACAGGAGTCTGTGTATCTCTCAAAGTGAATAATTTTGTGGCTGTTCTGTGGAGCATGTGTTAGTCTGAACAGAGTTTTCAGTTAGGGAATCCCTCTGTCATGTGTGAAAGCTTGTGTAAATGTTCCTAATCCAGAATTCTGAGCACTTAGTGATACATAGTGGCTATTTTGGCACACAAACCTCTATGAAAAGTTGTCTCACCAGTCTTAGCATTTGCCCATGATAGCACAGATAATGAAATAGCAGAATTCAAAATTTAAACTCAGGTGTGTCTGATTTAAAGCCCTTCCCTTTATGCCACACATGAAATGTCTGTTGGTTCAGGAACATGCACAGCCTGAACTGTCAGAGTTATGGCAATACAACTTAGTGGCGAGCACTGACCCAGCATGAATGAGACCCTGGTGACTGTTCTCTCAGTACCCCAAAGTGAATGGGAAGACACCATAAACAAAACGGAAAATCTGTGGTGATAAAAGCCAGGAGAGCTGGGTTCCAAAGCTTGACTTACACCACTGAAAGTCCTTCACCCTGTTAGAAACTCACCCCGAACTCGAATTTTTATGTAAACTGCCTTACCTATTAAGCTCTTACCTATTAAGCAGTTCTGGCATCACATCCCTTCATTTCTAAACTACAGAAGACTAGATAATGCTTAGGGTTTAGATAAATGCTGTATGGGCATCTGAACAATTTTATATTAAATAATATTAATGCCAACTGGGGGTCCTAGGATGGAGGGCTCCTAGGTTTCTTTTCCTCCGTGATACAGAGGATTCAGACCTGGGGCCTTGAGCACGCTAGTCAAGTGCTCTACCACTGAGCTAGACCCACAGCCAGCTGTGGCTTATTTTTAATTCCTTAGACCAAGTAAACAAAGATTTCATGTTCTTTATGTATAGTTTATGGCTTGGGAAGGATTTCTTTATTTAAATAGTTGATGTTTGCCTTATGATACATTGGAATTTATTTTCTAATTTTGACTACTGTAAAGAAAACTTTAAATGCACTTGAAGTTGATTTTAGAGTCTTAATGCCCTATCTTGCTTTGGTCATGTTAAGAAGTTACCTTATGGTTGTTTTTAATACCACTGTCATTCCCTGGAATGTTTTTGTTTCATGATAGTTGCTGTCCTTCGGTGAAAAGCAGTGTGTGCTCATCAGTAAAGTTGTGGTGCACGTGAGACCAAGGTCAGCAAATCCTTCACCAAGCTCTTCTGCTCTAGGATCAAGGATAGACCTCGACAGTATCCAAACCATAATGGAGTCCATGGGGTCAAAGTTATCTCCTGGCGCTCAGCAGCTAATGAATATGATTAGGTTTCAGCAGCAGGCAAGTAGAGATGTATTTTGTTAAATTTTAAAATGCTGGTTTGGGGAGATGGTTCAGTCGGTAAAAGGCTTGCTGTGCAAGCCTGAGAACCTGAGTTTGGATTCCTAGAGTCCATGTAAAAACAGGAAGCATTAGTAAACATGTCTGTAATTCTTGTATTCCTACAGAAAGATGGGAGGTGAAGGCCTGAGAATCCCTTGATGTTCTCAGGCCAGTTAGTCTAGTATATACCAATGGGTTTAGACATTGTTCCAGAGAGTTGGAAGGTGAGAACTTGAGGTAATCCTCTGACTTCAGATCTCCCCTACTCCCAAATACATACACACACACACACACACACACACACACACACACGCATGCACTGTGCTCCTCTCCAAAAAACACCACATTTTTAATACTGACCTTTAATATGATAATATAGTATATTGATTTTTTTCTCTTGGTTTCTATTATTTTTAAGTTTTAAAAAAGTCACATTTTGTAGACTTACCATTCTACAAATGTTCTAATTGCATAGCTTCAGTTTTCCCTGAATTCATTTTATGTGTTCATTAGACAGAGAACAAGACTCTGGCTTGCTCCCTTTTCAGAGTATAAAGGTGATCAGATAGTGTGTAGCCAATCTTTAAGCATTGTACCTGGGGTGTGATGAAATTAAGAGAGGTATACTGAGCTGGGCGGTGGTGGTGCACACCTTTAATCCCAGCACTCGGGAGGCAGAGGCAGCCTGGTCTACAAGAACTAGTTCCACAACAGCCTCCAAAGCCACAGAGAAACCCTCTCTCGAAAACCCCAAACAACAACAAAAAAGAGAGGTATACTGATATAAGTGGCATTTCATCTGGGCTGAGGAAGGTGGGGTTAGTCAGCTCCATCTAGAGCTTGGCTGTTTTAGAGAGGTGCTAGTAACGGATAAGCTCATCAGTGTTAGAAGAGTAGGATCCAGCCGAGAAGGCAGTGAGTAGACAGGAGAGATTTAAAGATTTGTTCTCGACTATGGAGATCTAGCACATAGAGAGTTCATTTAAGTTTGTAAATGTTTCTGGTTTTGTTTTTTTTTTTTTTGTTTTTGTTTTTTTTGTTTTTTTTTTGTTTTTATGAGACAGGGTTTCTCTGTATTGCTTTGGAGTCTGTTGGTCCAGCCCGACCTCGAACTCACAGAGATCTGCCTGCCTCTGCCTCCCGAGTGCTGGGATTAAAGGCGTGCACCACCACCGCCCGGCGTTTCTGGTATTTTTAAAGAGATTTTATTCTACTGTTAATGTGGAAGGTAAGTGAAAGGAAAGTAAGACTACAACAGAGAAACCAGAAATATATGATTTTCCTCATCCAGATAAGAGGAGATGGAGTCTAGGTTAAGTGTCGTAACACGATACTGGGTTGGGAGATTGATAAACCATGAAGCACAGAGTCATTGGGATTAGACAGTTAATACCACTATTAAAGGAGAAAATAAAGTCACATGAGAAATTGAGGCTTTGAGGATGGCATTACCAGAAATATAAATGGAGCTAATGGGATGAGGACACTTGGTAGAAGGAGTCTAATTTGGGGAATATCAAATTTAGCTGTGAACAGGGATTGTCTGGAAGGATATTTTAGCATTTGCAGACAGGATCAAGAGAGGAGGAGGTGGCTGACTACAAGGGAGGTTTGGGTAATGTACCCACAGTAGGGACCCTGTGAACAGAGAGGCTGAAACTAGAAAGAAAGACTCTTGGAGAGAAGCTACATCTAGAAAAATATGGGGAGAGGAAGGAGGCACTGGTGTGATCACAGAGAGGTTTTAATGTCAGGTTAGCCGAAGCTAAGCTGTTATTCTGTCTCTCAGTAGTTCTGTTTCCTTCAGCAGGGTCAGCCATAGTTTTTTAAGTAATGAAATTCTCTTCTACAAAATTTAAGTGATACCATTGTAGAGATCACAGTATTGATGTGGAAATTTAAGGTAATACTGCAAAATTTTGTAAATATTGCATGATTTCATTGCTGGAGTCAGGGCAGTCCTGGGGTATGGGCAGAGGAAATAGAGCCAGGAAAATTGAGGGTTTCAAAACCACGAAAGCATTTTAAAAGAAGTGACAGTCTCTGGTTTGTTTCCTGTCCAGCATGATCTCACTTGGGTGCCTTAGGTTCCTGCTCACCCACAACCCACCCTTAACATCCAAGCAGAACGAACTCAAAGGAAAGCTACACTTCCTGTTTCATGTCTTTGCATTTAGTTTGCCTCTAGATGTTTATATTATCTTAGCCTTCCTTCCCTCCTCATCTTGGCTACAGATGCTTGGATCCCTTTTCCAGACATTCTGATGTTCCTATTCCTTACATATACAAACATGTTGCTACCTCAGGGCCTATGTAGTCAGTTGTTTCTTTGGCTAGAATTCTCCTCCTGTGATAGTATTTATTTCTTACTCTAATTTTATCTTAATCATTATATTCTTAATTAGATATTCTCTGTCACACAATTCATAGTAGCACATCCCTCCTAATCATTATCAAGGTTTCATTTGCATCCTTCTGACCACTTTGTTATATATATTTTTAGTTACTATTTTTCTTACGAAAGTTGAGAATGCTGAGTGTCTGGTTTAAAAGTACAATCAGAGCCGGGCGTTGGTGGCGCACGCCTTTAATCCCAGCACTTGGGAGGCAGAGGCAGGTGGATCTCTGTGAGTTCGAGGCCAGCCTGGTCTACAAGAGCTAGTTCCAGGACAGCCTCCAAAGCCACAGAGAAGAAACCCTGTCTCGGGAAAAAAAAAAAAAAGTACAATCAGAGAGTTGTCTGTTTTGTTTACTGTACTATGTGTATGTAGCTTATCATGCTTCGAGTGCTTCATGGTTGAGTTTAAATAACAATAGGATATAAAACACATTATGGAGGATTAGTAGTAGCTGGATTTGGGAGGTATTGAATGCTAACAGTTTTTTCTAAGAAATTTAAATATAAAGAGGAAATTGGAAGGTGGGTATATATATATATATATATATATAAAGGAATATTGAGGATAATGGAAATATTTCTCAACTTGTGAGGTTTGTCCCTTTCTAGGAGTTATGGCAGTTTGATTTTTCTTTTTCTTTTTAATTTGTTTTAGGCAGAGTCTCTCTGTGTAGTCCAGGCTGTTCTGGAACTTGCTCTGTAGACCACACTGACCTCAAACTCACAGAGGTCCTTCTGCCTCTGCCTCCCAACTGCTGGGATTAAAGGTGTGCACTACTGTGTCTGGCTGGTCTGATTTTTCTTAAAGTATGTTTGATGGAATGCAAAATTTTTTGTAATGTCTTCAGAAGATTGACTCCAGGCCCTTGCTTGTTACCTACTAATTCTTTCTTTTTTTTAATTAAACTAATGGCAACCCATAATTTTGACATGGACTATAGTATAAATGCCATTACTGTTAGTATATATTTTTCAATTCCCTAATATACATTTTGGAGCTAGAACAGAGAAATGGCATTTCCATTATGACTGAATAAAACTCCTTTAAGCTAAAGGAAAGATGTCAAATTTGATAATTGTGAAAATTATATGATTTTTCTTGTTCCAGAAATATATTAAGGTTTATTCAAAACTGACATTCAGTAGAGCAGAATAAATTGACAGTAGGGTAACATTTCTCTACAAAGAGCCTTTTTAAAAATGAAGTTCAGTGAAAGAAGTTAGATGGAGACTGTCTATTATAGATACCCCCACCACACACACACACACACACACACACACACACACACACACACACACACACACACACATGTACCTCTACTTCCTTGGTCATTATCCTCCTTTCCTCCCTGATTTTTTTCTCTTAAAGTATTTATCATCATCTCCATCCTATAGTGCATTCCCTCATTCCCTCCCTTAGGACACCCCCTACATATATATCATTTAGGCTCCATGTGAGGTCAGGGATTTTAATTTGGTTTGTTCATTGATATATTTCCTATGCTTGAAATGAAACTAACACAAAGGAGATTTCTGGTAAAAGTTTATTAGATAAATGCCTTGCAGTTCTGGCTTGACCTAGTAATAATTAGAGTATTTAACCAAAAAACCATGATTGGCATATAGATTTTGGAGCAAACTAATCATTTGCCCTAACAGTATTTGTTAGACTAGAGATGATTTTACTTATCTTTATTGGAAAAACTGAAAGGCATAATAGGGAAGTGGTCAACCGTCTCTTTAAGATAAGCGAGGATCTTCTTATGAGCTCAGGTGTGACCCTAGAATATAACTATTATCTTAGAATTATTAAAGCAATCACAGCTAAGGGTAGGTTATTTTAGGCATAAAACATGTCACAAATGTATCTATAGAACATCTACTTCTATAGTATAACTGTCTACCATGAAAACTCCTTGCAAAAGATATGACCGGGTAAAATGAATAGCTTATTATATATTGAAAATTGGGCAGGCGTTTTAGGTTGAATTTTGAGAAGATAATTGATGGGGGCTAGAGAGATTGTTCAATAGTCAAGAGTACTTGCTGCTCTTGTAGATGCCCTGGGTCCTGTCTCCAGCATCAACATCAGGTGACTCACAACTGCTTGTAACTCCAGTTCCAGAAGCCAACACCCTCTTCTTACCCCTGTGGGTACCTCCATGTAGCTGGTGCATAGACATACACTCAGGCATACACACATATACATGAAAATAAAAAACAAATCTAAAAGAAAATTATCAACTATTGTGACTAATCTTATATGTTACTGCCATAAGGAAGCCTTTAGTAGTGAAAATAATACAGTATGTTAGTGTATTTTACTATCATGGTAGTGTATATTTTGATGTGTTCTTTAGGAAAAGCTACAGTGAAATGATCAAAAGAAGTCTATGTCCCACCCCTGCCACAAACTGTCTGGTTTCCATGGGCAGAAACTTTTCACCTTGTTTTCCTCTCCTTAACATTGAGCAGCAATAGCTTTCTTCATGGGGATGCATTGGGGATCAAGAAAGAGCGCATAGTTCCTGGCCTCCATCAACCACTCAAGAGCTCAGCCTTCACTCTTTAATATTTGCTTCTTTTCCTTGCTTAGAATTGTCTTCCCATTGGAGAGCAGCTTCAGTCAGTGTTGGGAACCACAGGACACAAGCATCTGGTTGCACTGCAGTCTTCACCTTCTTCAGGAGTTATAGACAAAGCGTCCTCCACACCTTTTCCTTTTAGAACTGGATTGACACCTTCAGCCATCACTGAAAATTTAAAGGCTCTTATTGATAAAAGCACACAACCACCTGGAGAAGGAAATACCACAAACCACGATGAGTGTCACCTTGTGCCACAAAAGCATTCCCTTCTTGAAAATGATCTTAAAAATGCAGTGTCTTCTTTCTTACCAAAGAAAGCAAGTGGCAACTCAAATGCACCCAACTCTGAGTTGCTGCCTTTTCTCCAGAATTTATGTAGTCAGGTCAACCATCTCCGAGTGGGACATAATGCCAGGTGGCAAGAAAACATCTCCAAGCCCAGAGAGAGCATTGTCGGTGTTTCGTAAGTATTTTATTTTAAAGCAAATATAGTTGAGATTTGATAGGTAGGAAGAGTTCAATGAAGGGAAACTGATTTACCTCGGTGCACTGCCTGGCAAGCTCTTTCCAGTATTTATAATTCATCACTGACACACTTAACTAGGAATAGAATAGAGTGGATTACATTAGAAGGAATGTCTAGATTTGGTGTTGCACAGTTTCAGGCATTTGTAGAAGAGTACAGCCATTAACTAAGGGTTGCAATAGAAATCTATGTGCATGAATTTGGAGAAATTGTGAAAATTTACAATTTTTGATTAGGTGTGTTATGCATGTCATTGTAACAGTTTCCCTTTGTAGCTTGTGTTTGTTCCAGGCTACATTTAAAGTCGAAAACTATAGAGGGATGGGAATTATTTATAATATAGAAGCTCCTCTGGTCTCAATCTGTTATCTGTGCAGCATCTGTTTGATTAGGATGTTGCCCAGTAGTATATTCCTAATTCTTTTCACAGATATAGTTTGTCAAAATAGTGTTCTAGTCTGAAATACAGAAGTCTAGTCATAGTTCAGATTAACCATTTTCTTCTCTTGGTCAGTCTTCTTAGTTTAAAGTTTACATCTGAAGGTGGTACTTGAAATAATTTGAAAGAAAACATCACCAACCACCAACATGATTGCATCAGCATTTAAACTAAGTTCTACTGACAATATCAGAATACAGTTTGTTTTCATGTCTGTGGAATCGTCACCCAAATAGATTATATCTCAAGTCATAAAGAAGCCTCACCAAATTTTAGAGGACTGAAATCATAGAAAGTATTTTCTCTGACCATAAAGAAAGATAAGAAATCATTTAACAGTAATGGAAAGACAGGAGGAAAATTTCCAAAAACTTGATGATTAAACATCATAGTGTGTCTGACTGAAGAAGTCTAGGAGTTTGAGAAGTGGTTCAGTAGGTAAAGTGCTTGCTGTGCAAGCATGAGGACCTGAGTTTCAAATGTCAGTACCCATGTTTAATAAACTAAAACAAGCCTTTAATCCCAGAACTTGGGAGGCAGAGGCAGGTGGATCTCAGTGAGTTCGAGGCCAGCATGGTCTACAAAGAGAGTTCCAGGACAGCCAAGACTGTTATACAGAGAAACCCTGTATTGAAAACCAAAACAAAACAAAAAAACCCGAGTGTGGTGGTGTATACCTGAAATCCTATAGTCTGGGTGCTGGGAGGCTCAGATAAGAGGACTCCTGGGTCTTGCTAGCCAGCTAGTCTAAATTAGTGAGCTCTGGGTTCTGTAAGAGACTCTGTCTCAACAAATAGAATGACAGACGAAGACACCAGATGTCAGCCTTCTGCTCTATAAGCTCATGTATACGTATACATATGCATCCACAACATATACATCACACACAAAGAAGTCTCAACAGAAATATTTTTTAAAATATATAAAGCAGAGTAAAAATGCAGAGATGCAAGTTTGTGGGCTGTATCTAAAGAAGTATGCCAAGGGTCCGTAGCTTCATATGCTGTCTAAGTGAAGGTGGCTGTGAGGAGAGTGACTCAAAACCACTACCTAAAAAGTGAAATAAGAGCTGGAGAGATGGCTCAGCAGTTAAGAACATTTGTTGGTTTAATTCCCAGCACGCACATGCCTTACAACCACCTGTAACTCTAGCCCCAGTAGTTCCAGTGCCCTCCCCTAACCTCTGTGGCACTAGGCATGCACATGGCACATATGTATACATACAAGGAAAACACTCATATACATAAAATAACAGAAAATTGGAAAATTTAACAATATGGTGGCATAAACCTGTAGTTCCAGCATTCAGAAAGTCAAAGGAGGAGGTTCATAAGAACAGGAAAACAATAAGAAAATAATGAAATAAAAAGGCGATTCTTTGAAAATTTCATGAAAGTTGGTGGGCTTCTAACAAGACTAGAAAGTAAGGGAGAAAAAGATACAAAGTGCCAGTGTAAGATGCAATAGAGAATATCACTACAGAGCCTTGGTAGTAAGGGGAAGTGGAAGTAACCCCATGCTCACAAATTTAATAACTTAGAGGAAATGGATTAGCTTTTCAAAGACCGTAAGCTACAGAACACAACACAAAGTTAATAATGGAAAGACCCTATAGCCACTAATAATACTGAATTTGTAATGGGAGGGTGTTAAGGTTTGGATGCGGTGTATCCCTCCATCCCCCATATCGAAGGCTTGATTTCCACTTCCTGGATCTGGTCATTGAGTGATGATTGGATCATGAAGGCACTCCACATGCGGAGTTGTATTTTATTAGTATTGTTTGGAGATGTTAGAGTGAGTCTTAGTTGGAGGAAATAGGTCACTGGGGCATGACAGATTTTGAGAATGTCTCATCCCAAGCATCTCCCTGGTTTGTCTTGTCTGTTGTCTGGCTGCCATGATGTGATCCGCTTTACTCTGGCATACAATTATCTCCCATACATTCCACTCCATCTTGGGTCCACAGCAATGGAGAAAGCAAGCTGTAGACTGAAAACTGAAACCAGGAGCCAAGTAAACCTGAAGTTTATTCTCAGATATGGTCACAGTGATAGGAAGCCAACTAACAAAAAATGATGTGTAGACCCCTGCAAAATGTCAAACTTTGGAAGACCCCGTTAAGATGATTTAAATATAAACTGGAAGAAAATTCAACAAATGACTTGCTCTAACATACAAAGAAATCACAAAATTCAGCATTTGAAACACAGAAGACGAAAATCTTACACTAGGGAGACTACATAGGAAGCAGATGAGCAAAGCAGGGTGGCTGGCACAGCCTCAATGTTGCCAGGGGAATGCATAGTAAAGCCACAGAATAACTGTCTCTTGGAATGACTAAAACTTAAAAATGCTCACAAACACATGCAGAACTAGATATCTTGGGTTACTGCTGGGATCATAAAATGGTGCCGTCACCCAAATATATTTTGCCAGTTTAACTACTGGATGCACATTACCATATGACCTGACTTTTGTCATATTCCTAGGCTTTTATCCTAGAAAAATGAAATTGTATGGCCCTATAAATACCGGTACATAATTGTTCATAGATGCTTTGGTTTTTCATGACAGGGTTTCTCTGTAACAGCCCTAGCTGTTGTCTTGGAACTCGCTCTGTAAACCTGGCTGACCTCGAACTTACAGAGATCAGCCTGCCTCTGCCTCCTGAGTGCTGAGATTAAAGATGTGCAACACTGCTGCCCAGGTGAGGCTTTATTTGTAATAGTTCTAAAATGTAAACACCAAAATATTTTGTAACAGGTTATTTAAGACCTGGTATATCCACACTGCAATTATAGGTGAATTATGGTGAGGAGCAACAGACTCATGGGCCCACAGAACAGATCGTAGAGATCACACTAGTAGGAGTTAGGAAAGGGAATGTAATAAAGGGATGACAGGATGGATGTCTTAGTAGTTTAACGTTCTCTGTCTTGACTGGTAGTATTGGGTTGAATATTGTGCACATGATAAAATGGCACAGGGCTCTACATATATTTTGCATAAATTTTACTGTGCTGGTTTTGATGTTATTTCATAGTTAGGAAATAATAAAACCATCATATGTTAACATAAGTATGAAAAATAAGCAATTTTTTTAAAACTTCAGTGAAAATTATGTTTTAATATGTGAAGATCTATATTAGCTTTTGGCTACAATCTTCTATGTGTTACCTTATAGCATGTAACTAGTAAGAACACTGAAAGCAAAAGGAGTTAATGTGTGAAATGCACATATTGATACATTAAATCTACTGCCTTAGAACATTCTAGGAAGAGAAGAATTCACTACCACCAATTCTCTGAGTTATTAGAACAGCTCATGTACATTTGGAAAATGCCATTGTTTTCACATGAGCTTAAGGATGAAAGAGTCAGGTACCATCATTCTATTGGTACAGAAATACTTTGGACCTCATTGAGTCCCTGAAGGAGAGAATACTTTGTTTGTAGGCCCCACTGTGAGGTTCCCTCTTCTGGTATTCACTGAATGTAACAGTCCTTTCCTGAAGGCTTGTTAGTTTTTTGAGACAGAGTCTCATGTAGCCCTGTGCCTTAGTTACTTTTTTTGCCATGTCAAAACACCAGGGCCAAGTCAACTTATAAAAGAAAGCATTTAATTTGGGAACTCATGGTTCCAAGGGTTAGAGACCATGACTGTCCCAGTGGGGAATATCGTAGCAGGCAGGCAGGCATATCAGTGAAGCAGTAGCTGAGAGTTTACATCTGATCCAAACAATAGGCAGAGAGCAAACTAACTGGGAATGGCGTGGACTTTTGAAACCTCAAAGCCCACACTCCCCCAGTGGCACACCTCTTCCAATAAGGCCACACCTTCTAATCCTTCTCCGAAAGTTCCATCATCTGGGGGCCAAACATTCAAATATATGAGCCTGTGGGGGTCATTCTCATTCCAGCCATCAGACCCAGGTAAATCTTTGATTGGCTCTGCAATTGACCATGAGCTTTTGAGCCTCTTGGCTCCATTTTCCAAGTGCTGAAATTACAGGTGTGCGTCATACCTTGTAGTGTGCTTGCATGTTCTCAGAAGCCACCCACATTGTCTTTTGAGATAGCATCTGATCTCTTATTGCAAACTAGGCTGGCTGGGTAGTGAGCTACCAAGATCCTTTTATTTTTTGTCATTGCATGCCCAGTGCTGAGATTTTAAGTTCACACTACCATGCCTGCTATGTGTTTGTGAGCTTATGTAGTATGTGTTCTTGTGTGAGCGTATACATCCAAATGTGTATAAGTATGGAGGGGGGAGAGGTCAGTTTTGGGTCATATCCTAACTTTGTTTTTGAGGTAGGGTTTCTTACTCTGTCTGGGGCTCCCTGATTTGGCAAGGTTAGCTGGGCAATCAGGCATCATCTTTCTCCTTCCCCAATGGGAGGATTATAGGTACAAGCACCAGGTTTCTTATGAAGTATGCTGGGGATGTGAACTCAGGTCTTCATACTTGATGGCAGTCTTTCCAGACTGAGCTATCTCCCCAGCCCCAGCTTTCAGTATTTTAATTTTAATTTTCATTCTGAGAATCTAGCTTCATGCTTGTAAGGCAGTTTTTTTAGTGACTGAATTATCTCCCTTACCTCATCTGGTTTTATGCAGTGCTAGGGATTTAACCCAAGGCTTTTTTTTTTTTTTTTTTGGTTTTTTGAGACAGGGTTTCTTTATATAGCTTTGGAGGCTGTCCTGGCACTTGCTCTGTAGACCAGGCTGGCCTCAAACTCACATAAATCCGCATGCCTCTACCTCCCCAGTGCTGGGATTAAAGACCTGTGCCACCACCACCTGGCTAAACCCAAGGTTTCTTGATGCTAGAAAAATACTCAAGCAACAGAGCACAGTCTCAGATTGTTCCTAATTGTCTTTGTTTATATTGTTCTCAGTTGCCTAACTAGACAGAGCATTAGTAGGAGAGTTGTGGAGTGCATCCAGGACTGTGGCCACTGTTGTAGAGCGGAAAATGTGCCATGGGGAGGGTAGAATTGTAGAGACCAATGCCAGTGGGTGTATCTTGGCTGCTCTTTGGCTGACTCAGTTTGTTGTTTTTGTCATCATAAACAAGAAAATTGATATACTTAAAATTTTTATTTTTAGGATGGAAGAGCAACCTATTTGCTCCTACTTGGAAAAGATTCTTTCTAAAAACATGGAACTGATGGAAAAGAAGCTTATGGACCACATTGATGAGAGGATCTATCAACTCCAGGAGCACTTAGATGCTAAAATGGCTTTGTTAGTAGACTTGCTGCAAAATCCTAACTCCCCACCTCCAGGGATACCTCTAAGACACTATGACTCCAGAGAAAGACTTTCCAATGGAGAAAGATAAGCTATCGACATACACAATTATTGCAGATATTTATTACATATTTATTACAGAGCCAAAATACAAAAAGGTTATGAACATCAAGTCTTTAATGTCCTTTGAAGGATCTTTGTCTTACATGGTGACCTCAGTGCTCATTTTCATTGTACTTGTTACTGTAGATTCAGGTCTGCACCAACAGCTACCCTGAAACAGTCATAAGTTATTTTGCTTGCTATATTTTTCACTCTTACAGAAATGTATACTTGTATTGCTCAAGAGTTTGGGATGTATAAGGACTTCTAATGCAGTTCATTAGTTTGTATTGTATATTACATATGTTTGAAGTGAATTTTTTATTTATACAGATATAGTTTGAAATATAGTTTCAGGAGTATGAAAAGAATTGCTATGATTTTTTTCCTAACTATTTTGGAAAGTTGGATATCTGGACTCTTTCATGTAGTGTACCAGTTTACACTAGTTGTTGTTCATCTGAGATGAATATGTGTAGTACTCGGGCTGTCTGAGGTAGTTTACGGAGTGAGGGTAGACCTGTTGTCCACTACAGTGCAGCTGTAGATTGCTTGTGTTCAATCCCACTATTTCAGATTTGCTGCTACAGGTAAAATGGAAGGAAATTCTGTTCTGGAACTGACAGGTTCTTCTCCCAGAGGCCTTTTCTAGCATGTATGATGTGTGACATTGGGAAAATCTAAAACAAGGATTATGATACATGAATCTAGGGTTTTACAATCTTCAGCAGACTTAATTTTCAGAACTTAACTGTTACGTCCGTGTTGCTAATACGGCTGTGCCTAAATGCATTTACTCTTAAGATCACCTAGAAGTGACTAGAACTCTTTTTAGCTAATTTGCTTATGTTGTTTCCCTCTTTTTACTTTTCTTTATTTTTTTTCATTTTTCTTCCTTTTCTTTAAAGAAAGGGGTTATTTCATGCTTATTCATTGTTTTGGCAAACTGTTCTTTAAAATGCCTGTTGGTTTTGATTATACGGAAAAGGTGGCAAAGCATATAGGACACACCACACTTCTGCTGATCTTTGGTCCATGGTTGGTAGGATAGTCATACCATGTGCAGGTGTAAGATGTCACTTCCTGATCAGTGAGGAGAAATCCAATCATTTACGGCTCCAGTCCATGGTTTTGCAGCTTTTGGTAGTTGTTCCTCTGTGACTTAAGAATACCATTCATGACTTAGTAGTGCCTTCAGGCCCATAAATCATTAACTGAGGCTGCCCAGGTCTGCAAGGCAGGACCACACCTCTAACTGAAGACTGTGAAGCTATCTTCATCTCAGCCTGACACTCCTTTCCAGCCTCATCTCCACTGCCCATCCCTGTGTTCTCATCTCTGATCCTGTGACCAGGGAGCAGGAAGGGGCCAATGGGAAGAACTCAAGAGAAAAGCAAGAAGTGTAAAAGATGGAAACACATCTCATTAGCCATATGGTGTCTGTCACAGTGTAACATGGACCCTAAAGAATTCCAGCCTCTCCAGGCAGTCCTGTTTTGGGGGTTAGAGTAGCCTGAAGCCTACTAGAACAGCCATCTGTTGGAAAAGATGGCTCACAGTTCTGTTAAGTTATTTCACAGCTAAGTCTACACATGTGTATATATACTTGTTTCCTGGCTTTTGTTTCTTCTTTTTTGTAGACTGTAACATTGCTATAGGAAAAGTGGGGAGACAGGAACATCTCCCCACCCCACACTTCCCCAGTTCTGTTGAAAACTAAACAAAACCCATTTCTTTTTTCTGTCTCTTGATTTTTTTGATAGACGTGGCTGGTAGCAGAACCTCCAGATTCAGGTAACAGCTTGATGTGGGATACATAAACATCAAGTTGGGCTTGTGTTAAAAAAAGCAAAAAACAAAAAACAAAACAAAAAACTTCAATTGTGGGCATCATGCTTAGTCTTTGCACCCTGATATGACAAAGAAATGAAATGCTCCTTGTCAAGTGGCCCTAGTTTAAAATAAGAAGTCCCATGCATAAGGCTTGAGAAGCCCTCACTCCCTGCTGTGTGTACTTTTGCTCTGTAATAAAACCGTCCTCTCTTTCCTCATCTCTGAATTCTTTCTCTGACGGTAATAAGAATCTACTAACACTTAGTGGAGCCAGCAGGTCTTCTCTGAGACCTTCCTGGACTTGACCACCAGCACTCTTACCTGCCTATAGTCTCCCTGTCTCTGATGACCTTGGGGGACATTTAAATGTCTTCACACCAACGATGCTTTCCTTGTCCCCAGCTGTCCTCTGCTCGTGTTAAGGACCCTTCTTCTCTGTGTCTTACTTGTGCCTCTTTGAAGTCTGAATATCATTTACCTTGGTGTTTTCCAGCCATGACTTTCCTTCCTGAATTGATACCCTGGCCTGTGAACCCAAATCTTTTCTTACAGAGCCCAGTTTGTAGAACAGGAGATGTTCAAAGAAATACTCTGTGAGATAAACTGGATTTTCTACCTTTCTCTCGATCTCTCTTTATCTCTCTCTCTCCTCTTGTGTGTGTGTGTGTGTGTGTGTGTGTGTGTGTGTGTGTGTGGTGGGTTTCAGTGCCTATGGGTGAGTGCAGAAGATGTACATGTGGAGGCCTGAGTTTATGCATGTTTATCAAATCCTGTTCTTACTAGAATAGACCTGAAATACAGAACTCAGCTGGTCCCACTATGTCTGGAGCTACCTCACTCCTCTTGTGACTGAGGATGAGATAGGATACACAGAGACTACGTAGCAAGAAGGGAGCCTTCACTCTCAAGTGTGGCTGTAGCCTCTTATCACCTAAAAACCAGGAATTCCAGAACAGTTACTACTAATATTTGCTCTAAAGGTTGCCTCCATGCAGGCAATATTTCTTTCATATAGAAATATTTCCAAAAAAGAAGGTTGAAAAACTAGGCCTGATGGTGCACACCTTTAATACTAGCACTCAGAGGCCAAGACAGGCTGATCTCTGAGATGGAGGTCAAACCTGGTCTACCTAGCAAGTTCTAGGCTAGCCAAGCCTACATATATAATGAGACCCTTTATCAAAAAAAAAAAAAAAACCCAAAAGAATGTTAAACCAGGCTTTAAGGCCTGAGTCTACATGGCCTTGAATGTGTCTTTAATGTTGTGGATATTTTCTGTGAATCCCACTAACAAAACAATTAGCTTGTGTTCACAGTGAAGATACCCCCAAATTCCTGCACCCCTGTGGTCTAGTGTGTGACAGTTGTAATCCTGTCCATAATACTTTAGGAGTCTTATTGTGACTGCATTTATATTTAACAACCTTTTCAAGATATACTTTTGGAAATCAGCAACATCCTACCTATGACTTTTATAAAGAAACGAAGGGTGTTTCTCCCTTAATCCCACCCCCATGTTTTTTTGGGTGTGATTTACTTTTCTCCCAGCACCTCTCTATTAAATTTTTTTTTTAAATAAACACAACTCAGCTTCATACCAGCTTGTCCTGAAATTCTTTTCTGTCCCCTATCAAAGATTTGGCTTTCGCTGAGCAGAGGTCCCTACATGGAGAGGGAACTGCTCAAGTTACTGCAGGTGCCAGAGCTATGTCTCCAGCATTGGCGCCACCACCAAGAAAGAAGCACAACATTTAGTGCATCTACTTGGATTCTAGAGACAGCACATCCTCACTTGGGTGTGCTACTGAGGCCCATATACCAAGTGACTCAGAAAGCTGCCAGCTTTGAGTGGGACCTTGGAACAGGAAAAGGCACAGGCTGCTCTACCACCTGGACCATATGATCCAGAAGGCTTCATGGTACTTGAGGTGTCAGTGGCAGATAGGGATGCTGTTTGGAGTCTTTGCCAGGCTCTTCATAGGTGACTCAGAAGAAAACTGGAGTTTTGGAGCAAGGCTCTACTATCAGATGCAGACAACTATACTCCCTTTGAAAGACAGCTTTTGCCCTACTATTGGACCTTATGGAAACTTTTGACAATGGGTCACCAAGTTACTGTGCAACCTTAGCTGCCCATCATGAGCTGGGTGTTATCTGACCCACCAAGCCATGAAACATGATGCACACAACAGATTATTTCCTTGAGTACCTTGAGCACCACAGAAGTGGTATATACATGATCAGGCCCTAGCAGGTCCTGAAGGCACAAACAAGTTTCATTAAGAAGTTGCCCAAGTTCCTGTAATTTCTTTCTTTTTTTTTTTTTTTTTTTGGTTTTTTTTTTTTTTTTTTTTTTGGTTTTTTCGAGACAGGGTTTCTCTGTATTGTTTTGGAGGCTGTCCTGGAACTCACTCTGTTGACCAGGCTGGCCTCGAACTCAGAGATCCGCCTGCCTCTGCCTCCCGAGTGCTGGGATTAAAGGCGTGCACCACCAACGCCTGGCCCCTGTGATTTCTAATACCATTACATTGTCATATACTGTACCTAAGCATCCTGGGTGTGCCCTATAATCAGCTGACTGAGGAAGAGAAGGCCAGGACCTGGTTTACTAATTCTGCATGTCATGCAGGTACCACTCAGAAGTGGACAGCTGCAGCATTTCAACTCCTTTTGGGGATAGCCCTGAAAGACACCAGCCAAGGAAAATCTTCACAGTGGGCAGAACTTTGAGCAGTACACATGGTCATACATTTTGTTTGGAAGGATAAATGGCCAGATGTGTGATTGTCCATCATGGCTGCAGCCAATGAGTTGGCTGGATGGTCACAGACTTGGAAAGAGCCTGATTGGAAAATTGGCGAGAAAGGTATTTGGGGAAGTAGTTGTGGATAGATCTCTCCAAATGAACAAAGTATGCAAAGATACCTGTGTCTCATGACTTCAGCTGAGGAAGAGTTCAGTTATCAAATAGGATGACCTGTTCTGTGGACTGTCAGCCTGTCTCCCCATCCATCCTTGTTATTGACCAGTGGGTACATGAACAGAGAAGACCATGGTGTCAGCAATGGAAGGTATGCATGGGTTTCGACCACATGGACTTCCACTCACCAAGGCTGACCTGGCAACAGCTGCTGCTGAGTGCCAGATCGGCCAAGAGCAGAGACCAACATTCCCTGGGCTATTTGGTGGCAGGCTGACTACGTTGGATTACTTCCTCCATGGAAAGGACCATGTTTTGTCCTTACTGGAGTAGATACTTATTTTGGTTATGGATTTGCCTTTCCTCCCCATGCTGCTTCTGCCAAAACCACTATCCATGGACTAACAGAATGCTTTATCCACCGTCATGGTATTTCACACAATATTGCTTCTGATCAAGAAACTTCACAGTCAGAGAAGTGTGTTAGTGGGCCCACAATCTGGAATCCATTGGTCTTACCATATTCCCCACTGTCCTGAAGCAGCTGTCCTGATTGAAAGATGGAATGGGCTTTCAAAGACACTGCTACAGTGCCAATTAGCACTGTAGCAGCCTGGAGGACTGGAATAGGGTTCTTCAGAAGGGGTATATGCTTTGAATCAGCATCCAGTATGTGGAATGGGTTCTCTCCTAGGCAGAATCCATGGGCCCAGGAATCAAAGGGTGGAAAAGGAATAGTTCCATTTACTGTCACCCCTAGGGACCCACTAGGAACATTTTTTGCTTCCTGTTCCCATGACCTTAAGTTCTTCTTGCCTAGAAGTTTTGGCTCCAGAAGGGGGAGCACTCCTGTCAGGAGACACAACAAACATTACATTCAACTCCCACCACCACCACCACCACCAACAACAACAACACTTTGGGCTTCTGATGCCCTTAAGCCAACAGACTAAGAAAGGAATAACAGCGTTGGGAGGGGTGGTTGATCCAGGTTACCATGGGAAAATTGGATTGCTTCTCCACAGCGGAAGTAAGGAAGATTGTGCCTGGGATGCAGGTGAGCCTTGGAGCATCTCTTGTGCTACCGTGTCCTGTGAGTACATCAGTGTGAAACTGCAGCAGCCTAATCCAGGCATGATGACAAAGGGCACAGACCCCTCAGAAAGTATGAGTCACTGCTGGAGAAGAGAGCCAGGACTTGCGGAGGTGCTTGCTGAGAGTGGAGGAAATACAGAATGGGGAGTAGAGGAAGGGAGTTATAAATACCAGCTAAGGTCACATGACCAGTCACAGAAGTGAGGATTATAATCGACATGAGTGCTTCTGTAATATTAAGAATGTGTCTGTATAAGTGTGTGTGTTTTCATTCCTCAGTTTATCACGCAATGTAATATCAAGAGAATATTAGTGGTTATAATATTTGTTTGAGATACTAAAAGAATGTCCCTCAAGGGATATTGCCACTTATTCTAAAATGTCTAATGTGTTTGTAGTTGTATCATGTTACATGTAATTATGACCTGGTTAAATATAGAATAAATTTGTAATTGCACATGGGGTAGTTCTATCAAGTTGGGTGTAATTATGACCTGGTTATTGTTTTCATTTGGGAATTAAGGATGGCATAAGGATATATGGTTGTGTGTCAAGTTGAGAAGGGGTGGTCTTATGATGACTATTCTTGGTTGTCAACTTGACTACATCTGAAATTAATTAAAACCCAAGCAGCTGAATACACCTGTGAGGGATTTTTTCTTAAATGATTTGAAGTGGGAAGACCCACTTTCTAATCTGGGCCTCACCACCTGGTGGCAGCCTGCATAAGGACATGCTCCCTTTCTTCTTGCTGGCAAGTCCATTCCTTCACTAACTTTAGAGCCTACTTCTTTAGGATTCTGGTATATACTGAAGACCAGCTAAGACATTCAGCTTCATGGTCTGAACAACTACTGGATTCTGTTGGAAGACTTCCATTGTTACACTAGCTGGATCACATTCATTCCGTAAGTTCTATTTCTCTAGAGAATCCTAACTAATATATTCACCCCCTTCTTGTTTAGTCTGGTCTCTTAGGGCCTGTGCAGCCCAGAACACTGGCCCTCCCCATAATTCTTAAAAGCCTGTGATGGTTAGTACTTGTTATCAACTTGACAGGGTCCTGAATCATCCAGGAGCCAGACCTCTGGGTGTCTCTGCGAGGGAGTTACTAGACTGGGTTGAGGTGGGAAGACCAACCCTACGTGTGGGTGACTGGGGTCCCAGACTGATGAAAAGGAGGAAGCAAGCTGGGCACAGCTTTCATCTCCCTCTGCTTCCTGACTGCTGACACTGTGTGGCCTGCTTCAGTGTGACACATGCTCCTGCTGCCATCTCATCCCAGTGGGCTGTACCCTGGGATGAAGGCGGAACATGAAGGCAGAACAAACCTTTCTTCCCTACTCAGTATCAGGAATTTGGTCTCAGCACAGAGAAAAGAAACCAGTATGCGCTTGAATTTGGCAACTTGGTAACAGATTTGCCAACCTGACTCTCAGAATTCAGGCTTACTAACCCTAAAGTGTTTTATTTTCTGTTAGAATATACTTACTGATAAGAACTTTCATGGTACTACTTTTAATATTTAATAAATGGAATTTAGAAATAATGTGTTTTCAGTAGTAAAGTTTGGGTCAAGTAAATTATGATATATTCATGTAGATTTTTTTTATATTTATTTATATTATATATACAGTTTTCTGCCTGCATGTGTCCTTGCAGGCCAGAAGAGGGCACCAGATATCATTACAGATGGTTGTGAGCCACCTTGTGGTTGCTGGGAATTGAACTCAGGACCTCTGGAAGAGCAGTCAGTGATCTTAACTGCTGAGCCATCTCTCTAGCCCCTAGAATTCTTATATTACTGATAAAAAATGTTTTTTGAAGCCTGAAACATGGCTTGGTAGTTAAGAGTGCTTGCTGTGCTTCCAGCTGAACTAAGTTTGGTTCCTAGTACCCATGCCAGGTAGCTCACCACTGTAACTCCAGCTTTAGGAAATCCACTACTTTATTCTGACCTCTATGGGCACTTCATAGACATGGTGTACATATAGACAATCAGGTACATATCTACACACATAAAGTTTAAAAAAGAAACCTACAGAGAGTGAGAGACCTTGGAACACTCGGTCCTAAATGGGATGTCTCTATAAATTCCCTCACTCCACGTGTGGCTCAGGGAAACCTGCAGAAGAGGGGGCAGAAATGTTGTAAGAGCCAGAGGAGATGCTGGACACCAAGGAAACAAGATCTTCTAAACACAGCAGAATCGGCTGTGTATGACCTCACAGAGACTGGCGGCATGTACAGGGCTGCGCAGGTTTGGGGGCTCAGCACTGACAGTGGAAGTGGAAATAATCCCTAACCCAGAAGCTGTCTCCAGTTGATAGCCACTTGCAAATGAAAAATCAGTTTTCTCTAATGCAGTCTCACTTGTATACAAGCCTCTCTTAAGGTCAGGCCCCATGCCCAGTAGTAACCAACCAACACAAAACAAACCCAATGGTATTTTGGGGGGGTTGTTTGTTTGTTTGTTTTTATCTCAAAATGCCTTATCCGGGATTTTTTTCTTTTTTCTTTTCCTACCCTACAGGTCTTATACATAACAGTTCCCAATTTTCTGTTTTTTAGGGATTTCTTTGTGCCAATGTGTATGTCTTTATGTATGTGTTTCTTGTGCATTGTCCTTGACTCTTTTTCTGTTCATTTGTTTGTTTTGTCCTATTTGATTTTATTTGTTCTTACTATTGTTTTCTTTACATGCTTGTTTGTTTTCTAATGAAGGAGAGCAAGAAAGGATGTGGACTTGGATGATTGGGAAGGTGGGAGGATCTGGAAGGAATTAGGGTATTTGGAACCATAATCAGAATATGTTGTATGAAAAAACTATTTTCAATTTAAAAATTAAAGTTTTAAGTACAAAACAGTTTTTAAAAAGAATGGAAGTAAGAAAAAGAGAAAAAGGAATACCATATAACAAAACTCAAGCAGAAGTTAGCACTGAAACAGTCATCTCACTCAGAGGCATCATTTTTCCCTTGGACATTGGAAGTTTCAGTCTTCAACCGAATTTAAAAATACTTTTTAAAACTATTTTGGGCATTTAGCAAAATGGCATCCCATCTCTAAAATTATTTACATGCCCCCTTTTTATTTTCTACTCTAAATTCCCTGCTTATATTGCAACATTTATAGGCTCAAGTATCAAAATGAGTAAAAAAAAAGTTAGAATAAAGGCCACTCATAACCATCACCACCACGTGAAAGTAAAGAACTATTTTTATTATTTTGCTATTATACAAAGAACAACAAAGAACATAAATAACATATCAGAGAGTAAATAAGAATATAAACATAAAGTTGATTTAAAAATAAAATATTCAACTAACAAAAAAATAGAGTTTTTGTGTTCACTTCTGCCATTTCAAAGTCCATCATTTGTGCCACAAAAGCAAGGTGGCAGGCTGCCAATATCTGTATAGATGCTACAGTCATCACAGTACTGGAGTGCTCGACAAGACTCAGCAAGAATGGGTTTGACTCCGATGATCTTGTCTTGGGTGAACTTGCACGGATCAATACAGCTTTCAACATCTGCCTGCTTTGCCATTCTTAGAAAAGACACACACAAAAGAGGTTAGAATTGTCCTTTCCAATGAGCTTCTAAATCATGAGGCTATGTGGGAAAGTCCAGGGCTGGAGCCCATCACACATGTGACACCAGCCTTGGGTTAAATCTCTCTGCTGTTTCCCATCTTTTCCTCCCCTACAATTGCTATTGATGTGAACCCAGGTTACCACTCCAAGCAAGGGAGAGTGAATTGCACCCCAGTGGCTGCCACAGACCCATGAGATGTGGTTGTGATGGAGAAGGTGATACAGTTGGCTGGGCTCAGCTGTGACCTCCACCATCTAAGTCCCTAGGAAGGGACACCGTCACTGCTGACAGCCAGCCTCTCAGACTTAAGGCTTCTCTCCCAAACTTCAAAGGTCTCTTTTCTGACTTCCATCCCTGTCAGGTGTCCCCCAGCTGTTCTCTTGGTCCACTTCACTTTCCCACAGACAATGAAGGAGAGACAATGTGAGCTTCCCAGTGAGCCGTCAGAGGTCACTATGGCCATACTCTGAGTGGGAGACAGTGCATCCCCAAGCCATCCTCTGTGGATTCCCCAGCCCACAGTGCTGGGGATGGAAAGGATGCTCAGCCAAGGTCCTGTTAAATGCCTGAAGGCACAGTCCCTGAGGCCAAGTAACAGAAAGCTGGCACATAGTGTCCAGCTGAGAGCAGTGGATTTGTAAGCTCACAGCCTCAAGCTAGAAGGAATATCCTCAAGCTTCTGTACCCACCTGTTCCCATCCTCTCACACCTGACAGTGGCCCTTGACTTTCCCCTACAAGGGCCGCTGCAGTAGGAAGTGACCCCCCCAACACCCCCCCAACCCCCATCCCCCACCCCCCCGCTCTAAGAGAGGCCCCAGTGTCTCATTGGAGACTTGTAGTTCACTCCTACTCACGTGACTTACTTCAGTGCCTTGGCTATTTTCAAGTAAAGGCAAAGGACAACGATTATCAGTATAATTGCAGCAACCAGCAAACTGCTGGCAATGCCGATCATAACCTTCGTTCTGAGGTCGAACATCTTTCACACCTGGCAGAGAAGTTCAGGCAGTCACTTGGCCACTGCTGCCCCACGCCCCACCCTCCCGTGAAGAAGAAAGGACCCAAACAAGGTTTTTTATGCATGTGAGCAGGAGGAACTCTGTCCAGGGATGGTCCCCACTGACCTCAGGTGGGTAAGAGGGTTTATTTGTGATTGAAAGGGTAGTTGGATGTAAATCCAGGTATCAGTAAATGAGGATGACAGTAAAAAGAGTATTTACTTTTCATAGGCAGTGAGGGACCCTTGTAGAACAAACAAGCCCTCCTTGGAGTTTCCTACATGTCTCCTCAACTTACCGAATCAGAGCTGAATCAGAATGCACCCCACTAAGGACATTGGGTTAGACCTGTTTAATGGACTGAGGGAATGACTCTTCAAGATGTTATTGTCCAAAACTGCTGAGAATGTACAAATCTATTTTAAAAGCAGTGTTTTTAGTAAGGGTTGAGGAGACTCCCACAACTAGGTTATGCTACCTCAGGGTTAAAAAGATTCTGAACTGGTCCAGTCAACCCCTTGCTGATGCTGAAAAAGCTTGCCCAGACCACGAACCAGCTTTCTCAGGGGTCCCTTGTGCCTCATTCTGTCTCCCTGCTAAACACTTAACTCTCCCACAGAGTCCCCTTGTTCTGGTATAAGCAATATGCTTAGTCTAATATCTGAAACTGGGGGGAAGCAAGCCCAGAGACTACTGAAAACAATCTGACAACAAAGTCAAAACATACTTACCAAAGTCAAACCGCCTAGCACCGAGTTAAAGACAATTATTTAAAATCGGCACCCGCACACGTGCGTGTGCACACGCGTGTGTGCGCACACACCTCAAACTAAATAAGAGAGAAAGGTTTCAGAAATAGTACGCTTCAGAAACCCGCAGTTTCTCAAACCTGTGATTTGAGAAAGAACGATCTAAACCACCCTGTTAGAGGAGCTAAGATACAGACTGACGTGCTCCACTGAGGGAGAACTAAAGTCTGACAGGAGTGCTAGAATGTACCAGCCCAAAGCCAACCTGTATGACATCAACTTACAGCCCCTTATCTCAGAATTCCAAATTCTGTTCCACATCTTGGCATAGTTTAGCTTCCAAGAAATATACTATTGGGATCATTTAAAGTCTAACAGTTGAGAGTCTACCAACCGAAAACCGGTCAATTGTTTCAATTATTTAAAAAAACGATTAATCCAGGCTTTAAGCACCCTTTCATTTAAATCTACAGATGCCTGGCTGTGTTTCAGTTGTACAGTGAAATGATGCCAAGCCGTTCAGTAGGGGTCAACCACACATTCAGTGACACTGGTAGTCTCACACCTCAGGGTTGAACAAGAGCAAAATCTTTTTTTAACCCCAAAGTTAAAGAGAATACCTATCATAGCCAGGCTTGTAGTGTATGATTTTTTTTTCTTGTCAGTGTTTTTTTTAGGCTCCATTTTTAAAAATTTAAAATCTAAGGTGACCTAAAAGAAAGATCCATACTTCCTGCTGGGATTACTTTTGTTTGAGGCTTTGTTCAGAAGCCCGATTTCTTACCACGAGCAGAAGTTATTTTTCTCATGAGCAAGTTCAGTTTTCAGTTGGATAAAATAACTTGCATCCCTTCCTTTTGAGCCTAATGTTATACCTGCCCTAGGAGCATAGACATACAAGCATGCATCTCGGCTGAAAGTAAAAATATGTGCAGTTTAAGAAAAAAGTATGTAAAATTTAAAAATTATGTCACGTATAAGGTATTTTAAAAATCCAAAGTCGTATCTGAGACTCAAGGCAACCTTTTAACTTCCATCCCTGTGAAATTGAAAACATATATAAACTTCCAACATACAACAGCAAAGCGTATACATCTTTCCCACGTTCAGCCTGGGCATACAGGAGTTCACAACTCTGCCGCTAGCCCACCCCTAACTCCAGGAACTATGGTAATGACCATTTTGGGGTTTTACTGCTGCTGGTGAGCTGTAGTTCTCTTAGTCACCTGTCTGTGTGGGTTATGGACAGGTTCTCTGTCCTGACTTCAGCTCTCTAGCTGCCTTGTGTAGAGTTGTTGATTTTCAGTTTGTTCAGCTTCTTCTTGTGAGCATGGGGATGACTTAAGTTCTTCACACAATTGGGAGACAAATTGAAAGGCCCAGATCCATTTCTATCCACTCTCCCCCTTTTCTGAACCTCAACTGGCCCATCTCCCAGTTCGTGGATTCTTTCTTCTGCCTGTTCAAATTCGATACTGAGCTCCACTAGCGACATTTTAATTTTATTTATTATAGTTTCCAACTCTAATTTCTACCCGACCCTTCATAGTAATTTTCTTTCTTATTAATATTCTTTATGTTAACATTATACTTTCTGTTAGACATGGTTTTCTTTGAACGTATTTTAAAATGGCTGAATTCAATCCTTGTCTAAATAGGACCAAAATCTGGGCCTCTGCAATTAACATTTCCATTAATTGTTCTATCTTTTGTGGGTCCTATTTTGCCATGCTTAATAGTCATTTTTGAAAACTAGATTGTTTTTTTTGTTTGGTTTTTCAAGACAAGGTTTCTCTGTATTGTTTTAGAAGCTATCCTGTCCTGGAACTCACTCTGTAGACCAGGCTGGTCTCGAACTCACAGAGATCCGCCTGCCTCTGCCTCCCGAGTGCTGGGATTAAAGGCGTGCGCCACCACCGCCCGGAGGAAACTAGATACTTTAAATGGTACACCATGGTGTCTTTGAAAATGAGCCTTCTATCTCCTAAGACAGCTGTTGCTGCTTTGTCACAGTTACGTAGCTCCTTGAGTTACTTTCCCCAACTGATTCTTTAACATCTGTGCCCTTTGTTGTATGTGGACACTGATTTACCCAAAGGCAATTAATAATTAGGCAAAGATTTCTTTAAATTCCTGGAACAAGAACAACAACAAAACCTTCCAGTCTTTGGTGAGGGGCTCAGGGTACCTGTGGGCCAAGTCTATACGCTGAGCCAAACAGCAGAGAACCATGTCTCAGGCCCCTCCTCTTTCTTGGGAAAAGCCTCCAGTATTCTCCAGATGCAGTATCTTAGGACCAACTCATTCTTGTCTAGGGTGTTTCTAGTTCTCTCACACAGCTTTAAATGGTTTGTGGTCTTCTAGACTCCCAGGAATATGTCAGAGCTTTCCAAAAATCCAGAATTTGGGAAACAAGGTGTCAGGTTCAAAGAAAACTCTATTTCCCCAGATTTCCAAAAGACAGAAAGGACAAATGGCTATCAGTGGTGCCTATTAGCATGTCAAAGCCCATGCTGGCCTTAAGGCTCCCTCGGTATCACAAGTATCTGTTATGCATTTCAAAATTCATATTAGCCCCTAGTCCTTCCTGGAGCAAGACAAAAGCCTGGAGATTTAAATGAAAGACAAGGCGTCTGGTTGTTTTTGCTGAGAGAGACAGAGACAGACACACACACACACACACACACACACACACACACAGAGTTTATTGCAAGAAGGGAGCAGCCATATATACAGATTTACAGCACAGTGGAGAGTTTGTGTTTTCATAATTAGAGGTTGATAACAATGGGGCAAGGCCAGGGCTGTAAGCCAGGACTAGAAGACAGGATGCACCTGTGCTTATTGGCTGACAAGCAACTTACAGAGACTCTGTGGCAGCTGGTGCCCAACATCTACCCCTTCTTTATATATAAATTAGCCCCTGTCTTAGGTGACTAGGATGTTAACCGCCACCCTACCCATCAATGGAGAAATCACTCAGGCTGCATGACCCTCCTGTCTTAGGTTTGCTGGCATCCCCTCTTGCTTGTCATTGGCTGCCTAATTTTTCTGTAGGCTTAACCATAGTTAAGTAGAAAGATTCTCTGTGGCCATCAAGTGACAAATTGAGCCTGGACTTGTCTAGCACTGAGGCACCTTAACCAAATGAAGCATATGATAAGTCTTACGGCTACAAGGCCCAGATATAGGGACTCAGCCCATTCTTTGATTAAATGGCCTGCCATCTAAACAAGAAGAAAAATGTACATATCACAAAATTGGCCTTAAATTTGTATATAAACAATATTTGGGAATGTGGGCATCATTCTCTCCAAACTGCTTCATGCTGTTTGGAGGCACTGAAATACCATGGGGATCCTAAGAAAATCTAGAAATCCTGGCTGTCATGGTCTGCAAGGCTGCCTTGTCCCAGCTGTTTTGAATGTTGTATCACCTGGGCCACTGCTTCAATGGGTCTTGCTTCATCAAACCATATTAGTCTGGAAGGAATCCACAGCTTTCCATTTTTTGTGGAAACACAAATAAAATCTCTTTTCCAGAGTAACATATTCTTATACTGAAAGTTTGAAGTCAAGGCATTTTTAAAATATGTAAGTTGCATTAATCCAGCAGCATTTCTTTTAGCAGTTGTTGCTATTTCCTCAGTAGTCAAACAATTCAAAGACATCACAATAGCATCAGTATTCAGACTCTCTGTGTATATTCCATCTTTACATGGCTTATTTATTTATTTATTTATTACTAGTACTCTATTTCTTTTATTTTTTTCCTTTTATGAGACTTTTCTCTGTTCCCGTTTGCCTACTCTGGAATTCACTCCTTACACCAGGATGGCCTTGAAATCAGAGAAATCTGCTTGCCTCTGCCTCCTGAGTGTAAAAACCATGGACTTGTCTTTTCCAAAGTTAAAATGAAATCTTTAGCTGTCTTTCACTTAATACCAGTACCTTGTTTCTTTAATAATTCTTAGAAGTTAAGGTATCCAATTTTCAATTCACCCTCAAAAATCCTTTCCTGCTGGCCAGCCTCCGAGGGTGATCTCTCAGGGTCTTCTTGCTTTCCTGATCTTGGTGGGACCTCCACTTCAAGTCTAATATATCGGGCAAAAGCCTGGAGATTTAAATGAAAGGCAAGACATCCGGCCATTTATGCTAAGAGTGTGTGTGTGTGTGTGTGTGTGTGTGTGTGTGTGTGTGTGTGTGTGGTGTGTTTATTGCAAAGAGGGAGCAGCTGTGTACAGCACAGTGGGAAAACTCCAGGTGTAAGAGTTCGTGTTTTCATGATTAGAGGTTGATGCAGTGAGGCAAGGCCGGGGCTGTGAGCCAGGACTAGAAAACATGATGCACTGTGGGAACACCAGACCTTGAGCAGAGACCCACTTCCCCTTCTTCCTGGGAGTAGGCAGCTGTAAGACAATGTTTAGTAAAAACATGTTTACTAAAAACGATACAATAAGTTCCTGGCCACTTCCCCTTCTGCCTGGGAGTAGGCAGCTGTAAGACAATGTTTAGTAAAAACATGTTTACTAAAAATGATACAATAAGTTTCTGGGAAAGGCCTTCCCACAGAAACCGCCCTGACCTCGACCTTGTCCAAAGACTAACCGCACCTTTAAAAACCCACACACATCCACCTCTGGTGTCAGAGCAGAACCAGCCAGGGGAGAGGAGAGAGCAGAAGCTTCTCTGGTGGGAGCTTTTCTTAGGAAGTTTTCTTGAACCTTTTTGGAGCCTGTTTAAAGTTCTCTTTATATCATTGAACGAGTCTCTGTGTTGTCAATCCCCGACACCCTCCGCACGTTCTCGGACACAGGCCACGCAGCAGACGAGACAATTCGAGACAATGCACCTGCGCTTATTGGCTGACAAACAACTCACAGAGATCCCATGGGGGCTGGCGCCCAACATCTCCCCTACCCTAAACTCCCCAAGCCCACAGGCTTCCCTCCCCATAGCTACTCACTCTCCTTATGACCCTATTTCATCTTTGCTCACTCTGTCTTCCTCTCCCTATCTCCCTCCTCCCCCCCTCTTTGCTCTCCATGATCTCCATTATCTCCCTCTCTCCATCTTACCCTTTCTTTCTCTTTCTGCTCTGCTACTGCTTCTCTCATTACTGGGTCCAGTCTGTCAACCATGTACAGTCCGCTTCTTTCTCTCTGTACTCTGGACTCTTCCAGATGCCTCTGGATGCTCTCTCTCTCTTATTAAATAAAGATAATAAAGATAAAATACAATCTCTCTTGTGTCTACAATAAAAACCTTCCCCTTATTCATAGCATGGAGTGGTCATGTCATTAGTTTATACATTAGGAATAATTGTCACTCGTCTTTTCCTTTCGTTTTATTTTTGTCAACAAGCTAGAGTCATTTGAGAAGAGGGAATATCAGTTGCAAAAATGCCTCCATCAGATTGGCCTGTAGACAAGTCTGGAGGGGCATATTCATGATTAATGATTGATGTGGGAAGACCCATCCCACTATGGACTGTGCCATCCATGGGCAGGTGGTCTTGAGTTTTGTAAAAGATTAAGTTGAGTGAGCCATGGAGAACAAGCCAGTAAGATGTGTTTTTCTACAGCCTCTGCTTCAGCTCCTGCCTCCAAGTTTCTGCCTTGTGTTCTTTCCTTGGCTTTCCTTGATGATGGATTATAACCTATAAGCTAGGTAAATGCTTTTCTCTCACAAGTTGCTTTTAGTCAATGTTTTATCACAGCAACAAAAAAGCAAGCTAGGACAGTGGCCACGGTTTGTGTCTTTTTTTTTTAAATCAGGTTTATATTACCAGGTATAAATTCCCTCTTGTAGAGCAGACCACAGATTCAATCAGAAAACAATTGGTTACCTCCCTGCCCATAACAGTCATACCACTATTGCTCTAGTGGATACATCTTGTCTGGCAGGTTAGTATTGTAATGTGCTGGGCTCATTGATCTCTTTTCTATCCCAGAGGCCTACAAAACACCTCTGAAACTTGCAAGCTATCAAGCAGGAGAAAAGTTTCCGTATGTTCTGCAACCAAAGCATGTAATGTCTTCAGCTGTAGAGTTTTGTCATTCAGTTATGGTGGTCACCAAATATTCCATGCATGGCACTGAGCTTGTTTCATTTAGTAAATTTTGTTTTTTGGGAACAGCATTATCTGCCTATGTTGAATATGTATAGACTCCTTTTTATTTTAATTTTATATATTTTATATTTATTTATGTGTTAGTATTTTTCTGCATGTATGTATGTGCACCATGTGCCTTCCTGATGTCCCTGGAGATTAAAAGAGGACTTAGGATCCCCTGGGACTGGAGTCATTGGTGATTGTGAGTTGCCATGTGGGTTCTGGGAGTAGAACTCAGATTCTCTGCAAAAGCAAAAGCAACAATTGACCCTAACTTCTGAACCAGTTAGCCCCTTTAAAATTAGCTAAATAGTGGGTTTCCATAAGGGCTTTTCAAGCAGCTTTAGTTTTCATTAACCTATCCCTCATCCCCTCCTTTCCCTCATTCAACTGTCCCCATCCCTGCCTTCAACCCCTAATGTGCTCCCTCCGTGTGTTCTACGATTGCCCCCTCCATTAGACTGCTTCCCCTCTCCTCTCTCATGGGCCCTTTCTGGCTTCCTTACCTCAAGATATACTTGAAATTAAACACACAAATCTAAATATTTGAATCTAGGATGCAGATATGAGACAAAATATGTGCTGTTTATCTTTCTGGGCCTAGGTTATATCACCCAGTATAAGATTTTCTAGTTCCATCTGTTTTCCTCCACATTTTAAAATTCATTTTTCTTTACCACTGAATAAAATTCCACTGTATATGTACTGCATTTTCATTATTCATTCAGCAGTTGATGAACACCTAAGCTGATTCCATTTACTATCTACTGTGAATTTGGAGTTTCTTATGCCTGAAAATGTTGATATTATCACTGCTATTCTTGATCTCACTTAGTTGGTTCCCAGAGCAGCAAGAAGTAACCTTTGCATTTGCCTTTCTGTGTTGAAATATCTTGAAGACAGAGAAATATGATTAAAGCAGGTGTTTTACATGAGTCACCTTTTTTGGATCTTTTTATTGTAACCATAAAGTATGATATGACACCCATGAGCCTCTGGCCTAATTCTCTTACATGGTTATATATTTGTGTAGCTAAAATAAAAAATCTAACCTATATTTTATAATTTGATTTTTAGATAAATGAACATTTTAAGACATTGGCATCCTCACCTTATTTTTTTGTTTTTTGGGTTTTTTTGTTTGTTTTGCTTCTGTTTTGAAACCCCAAATTTACTTTTGGTTAGCAGTCAAATTCTAAGCTTCTCTGGGAGGAATACAATCTGGAAAGGAAAATTAAGAGTTGCACATGTTCGGATGTATTTGGGAGATTTGTGCTGAGGTTTATTTGAGCATGGAATGGAATTCAGAACTCTGTGAAAGAAAGCTGGTATCTAGAGCATTGATGTCACACAGCATGAGTCCCAGACTGGGGAGATGTAAGAGCTAACAATGGCTGTCCATTCCAGCAGGCCACACTTCTGAAAGTAAGTTCTTCAAACTTAGACCTCAGTAATTACAACTTTCGTTCTGTTTTAAGTAACATTTTTATTCTCTGAAAGAAGCTTCTCTGACAAAAACTGAGACCAACATTGACCTAACAGTATAAACATAAATATTAAAAGGCAGTTTGAAAACATGACCATGTAGTAAAATATGAGTAGTAGGTTCCCTCCTAAAACCCATGACCTCCCCAGTCAAGATTTTTGACCAGGATTACATTACCAAACATGAATTCCTTCTCGTGGAGCAGGCCTCAGATCAATCAGAAAGTAATAGGTTTCCCCCATCAATGCATCAGTCATGCCACTATTGCCTCTTACATATATGCCAGAGTACATACTGCCTGTCAGGTTAGTATTGTAGTGCACAGAGTCCAGCACTGAGCAAGACCTCTGGTCTCTTTTTTTCCCTAGCAGCCTGCATAACACCTGAAGCTATGAAAGCCAGTCATCAGGGGAGAGTTTCCTGATCAGTTTGAGGTTGATTTCTCTCTCCTGTAACCAAAGTGTGTGATATCTTCAGCAATAAGGGCTCACCATCTAGTTATGGTGGGCAGCAAAGAACATTGACAATACCTGTGTTTTCTTGGTTGCTTCTGGTTTCTCCCTAACCAGTAACTTAGGAAGTTAACCCATGTTTAGTATTGTTTCCTGAGATTTATTTTGGTCGCCTAGTTGTATTTTTTAAAAATGTTGGCTTTTACCAAGCAATGAGAAAAACCAGAAAGCAGCAAGTGAGTTTCGTGGCCAGAATTCCATTTCCCTAGGTCACTTTGCCCTGAGACTGTCAGAGTTAAGTGTAAAGAACTTGATTATTCTAGATGAGAAATGTTGAAGATTCAGGCTCTCTGAGTGCTGGAGTTTTGTCTTATAAGTTGTCTTTCCTGTACAAGACCTCTGAAGTTCACACTCAGGGTGGGGTTGGTTGTGACTCTGAGTACGAGCATAATTCAGGAGGCCCAGGCATGTGGGAAGGAAGTAACTGCTAGCTCCAAGGTAGGTCCTTCTATTTATTACTTAAGGGTCTATTAATGTCCGTCTTCCTGCCTTCCATTACCTGCACTTGTAGCCTCAGTCTGTCCTTAATCTCTCTTGCCTCAGGAGTTTGCATTTGAATCCCCTTTGCATGGAAAATTTCCCTCCTATCTACCTTGGGCCAGGTAAAACCTCTCTGGAAAGAGTACCTCTGGTTTACATGTGTTTGAGGTCCATTTCTTCATCACTGAAAGAAGTTTGTGGAGGCTGCTAATGGCTGTGTGGGAGGGAGGCTGCATTCACTTTGTCTGCACTTCTTTGCCCAGGTATGTCTAAATTTTTTGACCTCCGAGCAATAATCATGATTGTCATTGGTGGTGGGATCCTGGCAGCCATGTTTCTACTAATAGGAGTTGTCCTCTGTCTTTACTCCAAAATAACCAAGGCACTGAATTCAGCTAGGTAAGAATGAACAATACCCCAATCTAATGAGACACTGGGGCCTCTCCTAGAGCGGGGTCACTTCCTACTGCAGCGGCACTTGTAGGGGAAAGTCAAGGGCCACTGTCAGGTGTGAGAGGATGGGAACAGGTGGGTACAGAAGCTAGAGGGTTTTCCTTCTAGCTTGGAGCTGTGAGCTTACAAATCCACTGCTCTCAGCTGGACACTATGTGCCAGCTTTCTGTTACTTGGCCTCAGGGACTTCTGTGCCTTCAGGCATTTAACAGGACCTTGGCTGAGCATCCTTTCCATCTCCAGCACTGTGGGCTGGGGAATCCACAGAGGATGCCTTGGGGATACACTGTCTCCCACTCACAGAGTATGGCCATAGTGACCTCTGACGGCTCACTGGGAAGCTCACATGGTCTCTCCTTCATTGTCTGTGGGAAAGTGAAGTGGACCAAGAGAACAGAGACTCACTCCATGGGGGATAGCTGACAGGGATAGAAGTCAGACAAGAGACCTTTGAAGTTTGGGAGAGAAGCCTTAAGTCTGAGAGGCTGGCTGTCAGCAGTAACGGTGTCCCCTTCCTAGGGACTTAGATAGTGGAGGTCATAGCTGAGCCCAGCCAACTGTAGCACCTTCTCCATCACAACCACATCTCATGGGTCTGTGGCAGCCACTGGGGTGCAATTCACTCTCCCTTGCTTGGAGTGGTAACCTGGGTTCACATCAATAGCAATTGTAGGGGAGGAAAAGATGGGAAACAGCAGAGAGATTTAACCCAAGGCTGGTGTCACAGGTGTGATGGGCTCACATAGCCCTCATGATTTAGAAGCTCATTGGAAAGGACAATTCTAACCTCTTTTTGTGTGTGTCTTTTAAGAACTGCAAAAGAAGCAGATGCTGCTGTAAGCTGTATTGATCCATGCAAGCTCACCCAAGACAAGATCATCCAGCCCAAACCCATTATTGCTGAGTCTTGTCATACCCTCCAGTGCTGTAATGCATGTGGTGTCTATGCTAATGCTGGTGCCCAGCCACCTTGCTTTTGTAATGTAATTGAAGGACTCTGACATGGCAGTGGTGGATAAAAAGAAATCTTCATGATCCATATTTCAATTTCTTAATAGAATATTTTCTTATTCAAGACAATTTCTATAGTGTTTATGTCATATGCCATCTAACATGTTATTTATGTGCTTTTGTATAAATGGACACTAATGAAAACAATCTTTGTCTCTATTACGTTTCTTAGTTATACTTCTTATACTAATAGCCACTATGAAATTTGGGCAAGAAGGTATGTAATATGTTTTGATAAAAATAGGAAAAAGAATAGAAAATAAAAGTGCCCTGTCCTTTTCCAGCTTTGGAAGTTTCAAGTAAGTTGATTTCAGGGCACTTCTAACTTTAGCAGCTGTTAAGTGTGAGAAGTTGGAGTAATAGGAGTGGTTCTCCCGAGAGCATGTTCCTTCTCAATCCAGCCTGTCGAATATCCTGACAGGAATGTCACTCACTGGGAGAGAGCGGGTACATCCTGGTGGGGTATCTCTGGGTTTACATTGGCTGATGCTTAATGATGGATTTGTTCTCTGTGACTTTTAAAGAATGGGAATATGGAACATAATGATGCCCACCTATAATCCCACCTGGGAGGTGGAGGCAGGAGGATTGTGTTTCCAGGTCACCACCTGGGACACATTAGGCCCTTCTTCAGAAAGGAGAGAGCATCTGTGCTAGCAGAAATCAGGCAAACCCAAGATTTCTCCCACTGCTCACCACCCAGATTTCACATCTGTTCGGAAGCAGGTAGCCCCTTTTGATCGCTTTTACAATGGCCAGTGCTGATTCAGCTGACAGAAATCAACATCCCAGAAATCTGCAACCCAAGACAGAAGCCCAGGTCCCCTTCATCACAGCAAGAGGATACGCCCTTGGCACTTCTGCTCTTTTCTCCTGAGGCCCTGAAGCCCCTCCTAGCACAGATGTCTCACCATGAATTTCTTCTCTTTTTTAGCTAGGACTGTTCACACCACAGATATAGTTCACAGAAACAGATATTAGCTAGTGATGGGCTGTCACCTACTAAAAGGGAATTAACAAATGGAAAAGGAATGCAGAGAGCAGCTGATTCGCAGGGATGGACAAAATGTGGGAGATGCAGGAGGGGAACCTGCTGCTCTTCAGGAATCAACCCTGCATGACTGCTCTCAGAAACTGAATACTCCAGTGCCACCTCAGCACTAGGTCTGGGGGGGGGGCACTGCCTCAAGATTCTGTAGATGAAATAATCTGTCTTTCTTGAGTTTCCAGAACACTGCCTCTATTTGGCTTTGACTCTTTAGTCTACCATCGAGGTCCTAGTGGATGGAGAACAGTTAAGTACCTTCTAACCTCAGCCAGTGGGCAGCCAAGTACATGATGTGGGGAGGTCTGTGGCAGCTTGTCCTTACCAGAGGGACTACGCCTAGGTATCAGAGGGGGGCATGAAGCAGGTGGGACAAGGCATTTGGGGGACTTTCATGATAGGCGGTAGGTCAGAGTACACACGGGAGGTTTTAGAACCAATGGATCCAGATTGCATTTTAACCTGGTCTTCACTTTGGGAAGCACCATGAACTTTCCTAGCCATCAGTACTTTAATTAAGAGTGGGTAATTGTGTAGGGGCCATCAGTGAGAGGTCTTCCCGGCCCACAGAAATCCTGACTCATAGAAATTGCAGGCTGCTCACCTATCTGGACTCCGAGTGCTTTTCCCCTCCCAGAGCAACTACAAAATCTTCACAAACATTGATGCTCAGAAATAGGGGTGGGAGGAGACTCCAGTCATGGGAAGGAGGAACAGTTGAGGCAATGCCCAGAATGGGGTGATTACGCACCACTATGTCCCTATCTCCTATGTAACTGCTTATGTAGATAGGAATCCAGCAGAGCTGTGTAGGGATCTGGGGAATTTCCAAGCTCCTTGTGAAATCCACTCCCCGGTGCCATTGGGCTCACCTTGCTGTGGTAGCATTGAGTATGGTGCTAACCCCAGATCCAGGGCTGGCCAAGAATGGATTCCCTGGGGCATAGTTGAGGATTCTTCCCTCACCAAGTTCAGGACTAAATGAGGAAGCCTGGACTTTAGATAGAGTCTGGAGCTAGAAGAGTGGAGGGGTACAGGTTTCACTCTTAGGTGACCCTGCCTCATCTTGACCTCCAAAGGGCTTCTGGATGATTCCTAGTGTCTTAGTTACTTTTCTATTGCTATGATATGACACCATGACCAAGGCAACTTATAGAAAAAGGAGTTTATTTGGGCTTACAGTTCCAGAGGGTGAGTCGATGACCATCATGGTGGCTAGCATGGCTGCAGTCAGGCAGTCAGGCATGGCAATGAAGCAGTAGCTGAGAGCTTGCGTCTGATCCACAAACATGAAGCAGACAGAGCCAATTGGGAATGGTGTGAGTGGGCTTTTGAAACCTCAAAGCCCACCCCCAAATGACATACCTCCACCAATAAGACCACACTTCCTAATCCTTCCTAAACAATTCTACCAACTGTGGACCAAGAATTCAAATACATTCACATTTAAACCACCATCCCTAGAACTGGCCAGTCACTAAAAAGTTACAAGTGAAGTCAGAACAAGACTAGCTTCTCTCCACCATACAGGTCTATCTCCATGAACTATTGCCTGACCTTTCCTCCATCTCCCTTCCTTCCCCTCTCCTTTACACACAGTCAGACTAGAGAAGTTCTGCCCCAGGGCCTTTACACACACACTTTTATCTTAAATCCCTCAAGATAGATCATAAATGACGGTCTCTATCTTTTCGTATTTGCTCCCTTTGCATCTTCTCAAGATGCCTTTCCTTTGCCCTAATTTGCATCCTTTTCCACCCAGGGTTGCCACATTTCATCTGATCACCCTGTTTTGTTTTATAGTTCTTTTTTTCCTTTTAAAAATTTAAATTAGAAGCAAATTTGTTTTACATGTCAATACTAGTTGCCTCTCCCTCCCCTCCTCCCCTGCCCCCCACTGACCCCCTATGCCATCCCCTTTCTGCTCCCCAGGGAGGGTGAGGCCTTCCATGGGGGATCTTCAAAGTCTGGCATTTCATTTGGAGCAGGGCCCAGACCCTCCCCCATGTGTCTAGGCCGAGAAAGTATTCCTCTATGTTGAGTGGACTCCCAAAGTCCATTCGTGCACTAGGGATAAATACTGATCCATTACCAGAGGCCTCATAGATTAACCAAATTGACATCCACATTCAGGGGGTCTGGAACAGTCCTATACTGACTTCCCAGCTATCAGTCTCCCCCTTGTTCAGGCCAGCTGCCTCTGTGGGTCTTTCCAGCCTGGTCTTGACCCCTTTGCTCATCACTCTTCCCTCTCTGCAACTGGATTCCAGGATTCAGCATGGCCAATCACCCTGTTTTAACACACTCAACACATTTGCCCCTATATGATTTGTTGTCTATTTCCCCCACTTAGAATGCAGGCTTCATAAAAGTAAAATCTATGTGTCTTGTGCTCAGTTCCATATTCCCAACTCCTAGGTCAGTGAGCAATGAAAACTTGCTCAGTGAGGGAATGAATAAGTGAATGGAAGAATCAATGGGCAGCTCCTTTCACATACACACTCTTCTTCCTAGCCTCGTGAGGGACACCAGGACTTCTGTCTCCAAGTTGCAAGCTCAGTGCCTGAAGGACTCTAATCTGCTCACTTTATCCTCTTCAGAGGGACAGGGTCAGAAATCCTTGTAGGAAGGCCTGACCTGCGTTGTGTTTCCTCTGGATCTTGTGTCCTTCCCCTACCCCTCAGGTTAGCCTCCTAAAGGCATCTGAGGGCACAGATGTGCCCAGAGTTTGCCAGATACCATGTTATCTTGGCCTGCTGAGCTTCGGATCCCAAAGACTTCTATTCCAGGATAAGTCATGGCTTTGAGCCAGTGGTGCGACCTCACTCATGACCTTCACTGACAGGGCCAAGCCTCGAGTGTAGATCAAGGCCAGAGGAACTGCTATGTAACTGGTGAGCCCTGTGCGGAACTGGGCTGGTTGGCCCACAGCCCTGTGAGAAGTGACCTGGAAGAGAGAGTGCAATGCCAGAGACCGCTGGCCGGGACGCAGCCCCACAGCTGCGGAGTTCTCACCAGCGTCACCCCTGTGTGGCCAAACTGACATGTTTCCCTAGATGCCAGGAAACTCGGAGAAATATAAAAGCCTGCGGGCCCTGAGACACACTGCAAAGATGGAGGCCACTGGAAGGCTGCTCATTTGGGCCCTTTTAGCTGCCTGCTGTGGAGCACAGCTGAATTCGACGGTAGATGAAGGTAAGAAAATTGAACCAGATTCTTCAACTCAAACATGGAAGACCTACTCTTTACCAGGCTGCTTCCAAAACTTGGAAAGCTTTCGTATCTGCCGTTGCCCTCATTACAGAGAATAACTCACCTTTGTGCCCTCCGCAAGACTTTTGTTTTATTGGTCATTTCCTTACAGCCCATGGGGTCAGGTTCATTGAAATAGAAAAGGCACACACAGTTTCACTGTGAAATTTCACTTTTAACAGCATATTTTAGGAAAGTAATCCTAAAGCTATATTCCTGCATGATATAATTTTTAAAAATGTAAATTTCAGTTGCTATTTTTTTGAGGGTAAATCAATACAGAGATGTACATACTCTGGTAAATTCTAAAATGTTACACATACAAGAAAGGGTCTCTTGAGGGAAAATGTCGCCGGGCAGTGGTAGCACATGCTTTTGGTCCCAACACTTGGGAAGCAGAGGCAGGTGGATTTCTATGAGTTCGAGGTCAGCCTGATCTACAGAGTGAGTGCCAGGATAGGCTCCAAAGCTACACAGAGAAACCCTGTCTTGAAAAACCAAAACAAAGAGGAAAATGTCTAAAATTTTGCAATATGATAATGCTTATGTCAATAACTACACACGAAACATTTTTAAAATCAAAAAGAGAGGAGGAAAGGAAGGGACTGACAAATTCACAGCAGGGTTTTAATGAAGATGCTGATACTGGGTGGGTGTGTTTGTGCTACCCTTTTCAGTTAGTTTTCTTTTCCCTGGCTACTATAGTACCAGTTATTGTTAGGTAAGCAGAAGAGTCATTCATCAATCACAGGTGAAAGAGAACATAAGAAGGTTTGTTTCTAAATACATGGGGGTTTTGCTCATTTGTCTCATTTGGGAAATATATCTATTCTTGTCCTTGCTGGAG